CAGAGCCTTTCAGTGGGTCCTTAAATGGGATGGCAGCCTACAGGGCGTTGTGTGATGTGGCTTCTGCCTAGTTCTGCTCCACTCGCTCCACTGGCTCCTTTCTATTTCTCGAATAGAACAAGGTCATTTCTACCCCAGGGCCATGGCACTGGCTCTTCTCTGCTAGAATCCTCTTCCTCCAGACATTTTTTTTTCTTTTTTGAGGAGGATTGGCCCTGAGCTAACATCGGCTGCCAATCCTCCTCTTTTGCTGAGGAAGGCTGTCCCTGAGCTAACATCCGTGACCATCTTCCTCTGCTTTATATGTGGGATGCCTACCACAGCATGGCTTGCCAAGCTGTGCCGTGTCCACACCCAGGATCCGAACCAGTGAACCCCGGGCCGCCAAAGTGGAATGTGCAAACTTAACTGCTGCGCCAGCAGGCTGGCCCCTCCTCCAGACTGTATACGGCCTATGTCCTGTCATTCAGATCCCAACTTAAATGTCACCTTCTTAGAGAGGCCTTCCTTGATCCCCCCCCAATCCAGAGGGGCTCCCTCTCACAGGGATGTTTTAATTTCATCACAGCATCTATCACTATACTTTCTTGTTTGTTTGTTTGTTGTCTGTCCTCTGCCACTAGAATGTGAGCTCATGAGAGCAGAAACCTTGTGTGTGATGTTGCTGTATCCCCAGGCCCTGAGACAGTCCCTACCATATAGAGAGTGCTCAATAAATGTTTGTTGAATGAATCTATGAATCACTAATCTATCTCTCTACCTATCCGTCTGTTCAGCCATCCATCATTTAATCCATCCAACAGTTAGAGCCGACAGGAAAATAGAAACCAGACTAGATATTTCAAGAGAGAGAATTTAATATAAGATATTGATTGGTTAAACAGATTTCGGAGGACTGAAAAGCAGAAAGGGAACATCGAGGTCACGAAGTCACTGTGAATGGTGCCTCCTAGAGTAGTGCAGTATACACCTTGTGTGACCCAAAGCGTGGCCCCGCCTTTGCACACACTGTCCCCCGCCCGTCCAAATGCTTCCCCTACACACTCTCCTTACTTAGCACCTGCTTTCCTTTAGGTCTCAGCTAAATGTCATTTTCTCAGAGTGATCATCCCTGAAAAACAGTTTTCCTTCAGAGGACTTATTCACAATTTCATATTTGTGTTCATTTGTTTAATGTCTGTCTCCCTAACTAGGCTGTAAACTCCATTTGGGGTTGGGCCCTGTCCAGTGTGCTCACCATGGCATAGCCAGTACCCACTGCAGAGTCGTATGCAGTCAGTTAATAGCTATTGAATAAACTAATATATTGTCTACTCATCCAGCCATCCACCCATCCAGCCATCCATCCTCATGTCCATCCATCCAACCATACTCTTGTCTGCTTCCCCACCTAGCCATCTGTCCATCCATCTGCACATCTGCCCATCTAGCCATCCACGTGTGCACCCACTTATAGAGATTTGCCAGTTGTTTGTCCAGTGTACCCACCCATCTGTCCACCTACTGCCTACCCATCCATCAGTCTATCCCACCCTCTCCCACACGGCATCATCGTTGTTTACTTCCCTGTCTACCCACCTGTTTCTCCACCCATCTATCCATCCACAGGCTCTTAGCAGGCCCAGGGGGAAAAAGGCCCTGCAGAAACAAAAATGAATCAGACCTCATTCCTGCACTTCCAGAGCTCCCTGTGCAAGCAGGAAAAGGCGGGGGGCTTCCGCCACCCCAGGGTCATGACACCCAGCCTCTTGGCCCCAGGATGCACATGTCTGTTGCCCCCTCTGACAGGAGTGCCCACATCCAGAGTTTGCTGCCCTATCCCTGCAGATGGCCCAGAACCCAGTGACAGGTGTGAAGGAGCCCTACTTCCCACCCCGCACCTGCCCTCCACGCCTACTCACCGGCCCTGCAGCCATGCTCATCATGGTGACCGGGCTTTGGGCCCTTGCTGTAGAAGGACCATCCCTTCTATGGGGGGCTGGGACCATGGTGGCCTGCTATCCAGCTCTGACAACCCTCCCTGCTGGCCCCCAGCTCTGTGTGGTGATGATTTTCCTGGTGTCTGTCATCATTTACTGCAGCATCATCAGCATTGCAATGTTCCACATGGGAAACCCCGTGCTCATGACCCAAGTGAGTGCCCCTGGGGACAACAGAGGGTGGGAGCACTGTTCCAGGCTCCAGGCCCAATGTTCCATCCTCAGGTTCCTTCCATCCCCCCACATGGCTGGGCTCCAGGTGATGGCCATCACTCTGCCTAGGCTTGCAACATTGCCAACCTCACAGCACTGTGCTCAACCTGGTGCTTATCCTCCTCTTGGGCCAGGTCTGTACCTCGCTGGCTGAGCAGCTTACTAGCTGGGGTGAGTGAGGACAGGGGGTTGCAGGAGTGTTCCGGCATCCGTTGAGAATTGGGAGCCCTGGGGCAGGGCTCCCTTCACCTCAAAGCCTGCAGCTCCCACCTTGGTGTCCTCAGCCTGCTCAAATGAGGGAGCATGGCTGGCATTAGGGGAAGGTGTGCTGGGGACAGGAGCATAAGGGCTGACTCGATGGGCTGTGCCTGTTCCCTTGCACCCAGCAGAACACTGACCAGCTCTGCCCTTTGCCTAGAGATGCACAGAGCCCAGACCCTCCATGAAGATGCCTTTAATTTCAAAGTCTTTATCTTCCAGTTTGTCAATTTCTACTCTTCTCCCTTCTATGTGGCATTCTTCAAAGGCAGGTGAGGACTCCCCCATCCCCCGAGAATGATGCCTCCCAATGAAGGGGCCCAGCAGGGCGGCAGCATCCTTCAGCCTCCAGATTTGTCTCTACCAAGGTCTTGCTGTTGACCAAAGATGGTCCTTAATTTCCCTGGGCTTCAATTTTCTCAACGGTAACATACCAACACATCGTTGGGTGGATGTGAAACTCTAACACCTGCATTCATTCATTCACTCAGCCCTCACTGGGTGCCCGAGTCCTGACACCCTCACCTCCCAAAGCTGCAGTTGGGGTTCATCCCCATCTTTTGTGGTGGCCTTCCTGCTGAGTGCCCTGCGCTGGACACTGGGCACACAGAAATGAACCAGAGCTAGTCCTTCCCTCCAAGAGCTTCCAGTTTTTAAAGAGGACTGGTTAGGAGTCCTAAAGGGCTAGACTCCCAGGAGGTGGTGTTACTGTGTAACTGCCGTTGTCATTTGGCAGGAATGGGAGGGAGACTCACCAAAGGAACCTGCCCGTTAGCAGCATGACCCCCTCTTCCTGGGCCAGAAATACCCCATTGGCTTCTCAACGGGTGAGCAGCAGATATGGGCCGTGGCCCCACGGGCCCTTGGCAACACAGCCCTCTGGGTCTAGTGGTGGGGGATGGGGGAGTCAGGATGGGGGGGCCAAGGCCTCCTAGTAGCCCTGTCACCAGAGTTCACTCTCAGTGCATGGGATGCCAGAGGCTCGGAAGCAGAGTGGGAAGGGGGGGTCAGCCTCAGCATGGAGTTTAGCCGGGCCTGGCTCCAGAGAGGGTGGGCACATTGCCAAGACATGCAGTGGGCCCACAGATCTGTGGGATACCTGGTCAGTATGGCACACCACTCGGCATGCAGAACGAGGATGTGAGTACCCCTGGTGGTCGGTTCCTGGGAGGTGGGGGGTCATCATACCCTCAGGTCTGGTGGGGACAAGATCTGCCCCTCTGGGCTCCAAGGAGCAGGGGGCCAGCTCCATGCTCTGGCAGGAGATGGGGCCAGCCAATCACAGCGCGGCCCCGGTGGCTGCCTCCTCGAGCTCGCTCAGCAGCTCTTCTTCATCATGGTGGGCAAACAGCTGGTCAGCAACGTGGAGTTCATCGTGCTGTGAGCGCAGGAGCTGGGGTGGGGCACAGGGTGGGCCTCGTCAGGCTGTGGGGAGGGCTTTTATGAGGGCGAAGCAGAAACCCTCTTGACTGGGAGTTAGGAAACAGGGGCACAAGGCCCAGCGCTGCCCCTTGTAAGCTCGGTGGCTTTACTTCTTTCTAAGCCTTCATTTCCTCACGTGTAAGATGGAGACGATAGTATCACTCCCAAGGAGTTGAGAGGATTAAATGAGATGCTGAACAAGAAAGAGGAGAGCTTTCCAGTATTTTGGGGAGAGGAGGGGGTTCCAGAGACCAAGAATGACCACATAGGGAGCACAGAGTTAGGATCACTGGACTCAAATCAACCAGTGTGCTAGAGGCCGGCCCAGTGGCGCAGTGGTTAAGTTTGCACGTTCTGATTCTCAGCGGCCCGGGTTCACAGGTTCGGATCCCAGGTGCGGACATGGTCCCACTTGGCAAAAGCCATGCTGTGGTAGGCGTCCCACATATAAAGTAGAGGAAGATGGGCACGGATGTTAGCTTAGGGCCAGCCTTCCTCAGCAAAAAGAGGAGGATTGGCAGCCGATGTTAGCTCAGGGCTAATCTTCCTCAAAAAAAAAAAAAAAGGCACTGGACTCTAGAGTCCAAAAGACTGCATTGGAACCTCGGCTCCACAGCTTACAATCTGGGGAGGCTTGGGCAAGGTCTTCGAGTTTCTGTTTCCTCATCTGTAAAGTGGGAGTGATCATGGTGCCTGCCTTTAAGGGATGTGGGAGGATAGAAATGGCATTGTTTGGTTTCCTGGCTCCTGGCCCAGGAAGCTGAAGGCCTGGTGGCAGCAGAGGCAACTGGCAGGGCTGCGGGACAGCCAGATGGCGCAGGAGCTGGGGTGCTGCGGGGAGGACTATGGGCACCTTGAGTGTGAGGGTCTGTTTGATGAGTACCTGGAGATGGGTGAGCAGTGGCCCACCAGTACCAGGCCTAGCAGGGTCCCTGGGGGCTTGGCTCAGCAGGGGAGGCGACTCTGGCCTGACACTCCCTACCTCCCGGTGCTGCAGTTTAGGTTTATTACCATCTTTGTGGCGGCCTTCCCATTGGTGCCCCTGTTTGCTCTGCTCAACAACTGGCTGGAAATCCAACTGGACGCCCACAAGCTCGTGTGTGAGTACCGGCGGCCGGAGGCTGAGCAGGCACGGGCATTGGGATCTGGCTACTCCTGATTGAGGCCATAGCCCACCTTTCCATCATCGTGAATGTGGGCGTGGCGCAAAGAAGGGTCATACAAGGTCAGAGGGGGAAATGGAGATCAGAGACTGGGAAGGGGGCTCTGGAATGGGGAAATGCAGGCTGAGGCTGGAATTCAGAGTCAGAGATTGGGAAATAGGGGCAGAGGGCCAGGATCCCAGGAGCAGACTCATCCTGCCTGCAGAGTGGATTTGGGCCCAGGTGGGGGTGAGTTAGGAGATTGGGTCCTGAAGGCCCTCCCGCCCGGCAGGCTTTCCTCTTCGCCTTCACCTCGCACTTCCTGCCGCGTCTCCTCTACCGGGACTAACACCACAGCCACCTGCGCGGCTGTGTCAACCTCACGCCGGCGCCCCCGCCTCCTGCCTATCTTGCTCAGGGCTGCCGCACGCCCTGAGGCTGGGAGACCCACCAGGCAGGAGACCCAGCAGGCGGGGAGCGGAGCGCGGAGGGGGCGGGACCGTCTGGGAGGGGAGGGGCGCTGAGCTCGGTTGGGATGGGGCCTGTCTGGGAGGGGTGGGGCGCTGAATCTGGAGGCGGGGCGGTGAGCCTGTGGGAGGGGTGGGCGGGGTCTAGCTGGGAGCGCCGGAAGCCGAGTTTGGGGGGCGGACTGGTGGGCAGAGCGGGCTGGACGAAAGCGCTGAAGGGGCAGGGCCAGGGTCGAGGGCCGGGAGGGGCGGGAGTGCCCGGCGCCGAGTCCAGAGCCTCGCGACACCCCGCGCCCTCTGCAACCCAGCGCCCTCTGCAACCCAGGTACAAGGCCTTTCGCGGCGCGCAGGGTACCTCACCTCTTCTACTGGAAGTTGCTGGCTGTGCGTCTGGGCTTCATCATCGCCTTCGAGGTAGGCTCAGCCATCTGTGCGTCGGACGCACCTGAGTTCAAGTTTGGGTTCTGCCGCCGACCTGCTGTAACCCGGGATATGTTATAGAATAGGATTTACTTCATAGGGTCGTTCTGGAGACTCAGTATCAAGCACTTGCGCAATGCCTAGCACATCGTAGGTGCTCATTGAGTTAACATCGCTGCTCTACTAATGTTGTTATCTCTTGGCAAGGAAAGGAAGCATACTCCCTCCAGCTTTGCTCAGGATCGTCTTTCTCTAGCCCTACTTCGAACAGGATCCCTAGTGTTAAGGGGTTCGAATTATACCTCTGTGTCTTTGGGCAAATGACAATCTCTTTTTTTTTTTTTAAAGACTTTTATTTATTCTTTTTTTTTTTTTGAGGAAGATTTGCCCTGAGCTAACTACTGCCAGTCCTCCTCTTTTTTGCTGAGGAAGCCTGGCCCTGAGCTAACATCCGTGCCTATCTTCCTCTATTTTATATGTGGGACGCCTACCACAGCATGGCTTGCCAAGCGGTGCCATGTCCGCAGCCGGGATCCGAACCGGTGAACCCCGGGCCGCTGAGAGGCGGAATGTACGAACTCAACTGCTGCGCTACCGGGCCAGCCCCAAATGACAACCTCTTTATGCTGCGGTTTCTTCACCTGTAAAACAGGAGTAGTAATTGTACTCACTTCATAGATTTGTTGTGAGGATTAGATGAATGAATACCCGGAAAACCCTCAAATAGTGCCTTGCATTTAGTGAGCGCTCCATAAATTAAGATTGCTAAGGCAATTATTCTCTTTGGCCCCCCTTCTCCCCAGCACGTGGTGTTCTTCTTCTTGCGCCTCATCAGCTGGCTCGTGCCCGACGTGCCAGCCGGACTGGCCACCAAGATAAAGCGGGAGCGCTGCCTGGCCAAGCAGGCGCTGGCTGTCAACAGCGAGGCGCTGCTCTGGGTCCGCGTGGCCGGCCGAGCCTGGTCCGACCCCTGACCACGCCCCCTAGAACCGCCCCCAGACCGTAACTCAGCTCTCTTGCCCCGCCCTCTGGTTTGGCCTCGCCCAAAGGGAGGATTGGCCAGATTCCTCCGATTATCGCTTTGCCCGGCCCTTCACCAAGCTCCGCCCACGCCACGCCCTCTTTTACATTAATCCCAACAGAGTCCCTCCTGCTCTGGAGGGCCAACCTTCTCAGCCTGACCAAGCCATGCTTTGTGTCCGCTGCAGCAGGAGCGCTGTCCCTGGAGCCCAGGATGCAGAGGCGAGTGAGCGCGACTGCCCTTCCAGGACCCTAGGTCCCCCAGGATGCTCCTTCGATTGGAGTCCTCTGCCTCCAGCTAGGGGTCTGGGCAGCACCTTGGCCAGCGGCCCCAAGGTCCCCCCAGAGCTGGGAAGAGAGGATTAGGGTTCCTTGGGGACCCCTCGTCCTGCATTGCCGCCCTCTCCTTGTTTCCCATCTCCTGCCCTTGTGCAATGCTGACAATAAACTTCTCTCTGCACCCCAGCTTGCACCTCTCCATGGACACCTAGCTCCCCCCAGCACTGTGCAGTGTCTCCTCATTACGTGACAATGCTCTGGGGGGCCAAAGTGTACGAGAGGAAGCGGAGGGACCTAATCTCTCTGAACGGAATGGTCTCCAGTTGGTAGGGGAGAGTTCATTGGGGTCTGGGCCCTGGATCCCCTGCCCTATATGTTCATCGAGGCCTCTAGTGTGTGAATAACAATAACAGGGTTTATTTAGGTCAGCTGAGACACCTCCCAGGGGACTTTCACACACTTTTCACCAGATCCTCCCCAAAGCCTGGTGAGGCAGTACTGTGCAGTGGTTAAGGACACAGGTTGGTGGTGGAGCCAGACAGACCTGGATTTGATTATTAGTTCTGACTCTTATTAGCTATGTGACCTTCGGCAAGTTATTTAATCCCGTATACCTCACTTTCATGATCTGTAAGATAGGGACTTCACAGAGCTGATGAGAGATTTAAATGGGATAATGCCAGTGACCTAACCTATACATGCCTCACGTCCTCATCTGATAAGTGGGAGCAGTAACAAAATCTACTTTGTAGGGTAGTGGTGGAAATTAAATGAATAAATAGGGGTGAAGTGCTCAGAACAGTGCCTGGCACCTAGTGAGTTACAATAAGAGTTATTAGCAGCGTGAATATTAGCTTTCTGGTAGAGGAGGCTCTTAGAAATGGTGAGATGGATCATTCCAGGCAGAAGGGGAGGATGGGACATTCATGAGGAGTGGTGACGCTGGAAGCGCTGGCCAGGATGATGCTAGATGCGTCACAACACCAACTTTCACGATTTCCGTCTCCCAACCTAAGAGACTAGTGTCCCCGTTTTATAGATGCTGTAGTTGGCTCAGAGAGGGTCAGCACACTGTGGAGTTTTCAGGGTCTCTGAAGAGCCCAAGGTTTGGGAGGTTCTCTGTGAAGCTCCCAGGATGCTCCCCAGCCCCAAGGACCCCCTGAGCACATCTCACATTTGAGAAGGTCCAGAAGAGGGGTGACCTGTCTCCTGGGAGGAAAAGCAGTGCCTCCCTCTTCTTTAGGATGTCGGTCTGGGGTCCTTCTGAGCCTCTCCTGGGCATAGGACTCCCATTGTTCCAGCCCCCCTCTTGTACCCCAGACTGGCCAAACCGGTTCTGGGGAAGGGGGGCGGGGATCAGGCACGTTGAGACAGCCGCCCGCCTGCCCGCCTGCAAGGTTCCCTCCACCTTCGCCTCCCCCTCCGCGCCCCACACAATAACCAGGAGCTTGCATTGCCCGGCTCAGGGGCCATGCTGACATCGCCCCCTGAGGACCTGGCTGCAGCCCCAGAGTCCCCAGGGTGGTCTGGAGGCCTGGACCGTGCCGGAGGCCAGACGGAACTCCCTGGCTGAGGTAGGGCCCCATTCAGCTGCCAGCAGCCCCATCCTCCTCCCGCCACTCTTCCCGAGGGAGTCCTTTGTGCTGCCTGCCTGGCCTCTGATCCTGGCCCCCACCCACTCATGGCCTCCTGGGGCTCTGCAGCCTACTTGGCCTGGATCCCCTTTCTGGGCATGACCTCCCACTTGGCTTTGTCCCTTAATGGGCAGAGGGGTCCTGGCAGGATCCTTCTCTTCTGGGCAGCAAGGCAAGGGATACCAGGGAGGGGGCAGGGAACAGCTGGGCACAGGAGGCCAGAGGCACTTTCCCTGGACCATGGTAGCGTCCAGGGACCCTGTCTGCCAACTTTGCCAAGTGGGCCCATTGTCCATGTGATTAGCAGTGCCCACTGGATGGGACCCTCCTTGGCCCCTGCCCATCCTTCTTGGCCGATAGAGACACTCGTGATGACACAGATTTGCTAGAGGGGCAGCAGGAGGGCCCTTATGGGCCACTTTACAGATGGGGACAGACTCTGACTTGCCTAAGGCCACACAGCTGCTCTCTGTCAACACTGGGCCTTGAACCTTGGCACGGGTTTTCTGCTGTGGGTTCCAGAATGACCCTTGCCTAGTGGGACTAGACTATCGTGTGATCGTGTCTTGGGCAGGTAATATCTCTGCTATCTGGGGCCAGTTCTCTTCCTGAGATTTTTTTTCTAGCAAACATGAGCTACACGCTATATGAACACAGCTCTGCCCCTCCTTGATCCCCAGCCTTGAGGTTAAGTGGGCCACATCCCTGAAAGGCCTCAGGGCTGGCTTCCCAGCTAGATAGGTCATTCCCTTTGCCCCTGGCCTGGATAAAGGTGGAGGCTGGCTCACGCCTGACTTTCTCCCTAGGGACCTGCCTTCAACTGCGTCTCCCCAGAAAGCCTTCCATCACCCCTCCCACGACATTCACCCAGCCTTCTCCTCTGAGGCTTTAATAGGGGGTGCTCCTGCCCCAAGGGTTCCATGTTTTTGCTCATTTATCTCTGCAACTGACAAGGGTGGGGAGGTTCCTCCCTGCCTCCAGGGGCTTCCAGAACCCAAGTGAAGAGAACCTCCCAGGAGACGAGGGAGAAGGGGCGCGTGTGTATTCTTGCATGTGAGTGCCCAGAGAAGCAAGTGGGACTTCAGTGCAGAGGACTTCTGACTCCTGGAGAGGGAGGCCTGTCTGGTGGCAATGGTCCCCTGTGTCTCCTGCCACGTACTCCTACAAAGTGGGGTGTGTCTTAGCCTCACTGCCTCAATTTCCCCATCTGTGTTAAGGCCCGAGCCATCCCCCTGACCAGAGAGAGACTAATAATAATACTCAGAACAATCGCTATCAACTACAAAGGTCCCACGGAGTGCTAGGTGCTTCACGTGCATCCTAACTAATTCTCATATCAGCCTTATGAAGCTACCGTGACCATCCCATTTACCAGATGAGGAAACTGAGAGACTTGCTCAGATGGACAGAAGTTTAAGGTATAAGCTAAAGCCGTCCCTGCGCGGCGTGAGGGGGGCCTGGAGGAGTAACTGTCCCTTAGGAGCAGCCAACCTCTGCCCCCCTACCACACCACCAGGAAGGGATGAAGAGAGCAGAGGGAAGCAACTCTCTTCTCCGCTTTGCTCAGCTTCTCTGAGGGGCTGTGCAGAGAGAGTGGGGCCCAGTCACAGACCCTGCCGTTCTCCACTGGGTCTTCTCCTCGCTCCCTGTCTCCCAGGGTCTCTGACACAGTCACTGTGTCTCTCAGGCCAGCCTTCTCCCTATCCGTGTGCACTGGGTCCCTGGGTATTTCAGCTGAACGGTTAGCTAGTACTTCCTCCAGGAAGGCTTCCTGGACTGCTCAGGTTGAGTTGAGCCCGGCGCTCTACTCTGATGTTTCCTCTGGCTTGGCTCTTGCCAGCTGGGATTGTGGCTGTTTTTGCTTTCGGCTCCCCCACTAGACTGGCAACCCAGCAGGGCACAAAATGTTTGTCTGGCTGTCTCCCTGGGTTTTTCTGGGCTTTACCTCTGTCTCTGAGTATCTGGTCTATCTGAAATTGTCAGTGTCGCTGTCTCTCTGTCTCCATCTCTGGGGCCCTGAATGTCTCAGCATCTGTGGTTTTCTGGTTTTGAATGTTTTGGGGTCGGTTTCTCTGGGCCTCTATCTCTCAGTCTCTGTCTCCTGGGTCTCCTGGCCCTGCCAGGCTGGGCACTGCCCCTTTGGCCCAGGGGGCCTCTGGGGGGGTCTGTGCTGCCCGGCCTGCCCACAGCGAGGCCAGGCTAGGGTAGGCCCCCGCCCAGCCCGCTGCCGGCTCCCTCCCTCCCTGCCCGCTTGCCTCACCACAGGGTTTGATGAATCAAACTCTTTGTCTGGGTGGGATCTCCCCCAGCCAGCTGGGCAGTGAGAGGGCTTCCCCTGCCGGAGCAGCCAAACACCAGCAGCGGGCCGCGGCTGAGAGGTGAGGGGCTGCAGGAGGGCAGCCAGTGGAGGGCCACGGGGCAAGGGCTGTGGGGGCTTGGACCCCTTGATCATTAGGCCTGTCCTGAGGCTCCGGCAGTCTCCCTGAGGATGACTTCCTGCCTAGAGAGGATCCTTCAGCCCTGGCCCGATCCTGGGACTCGGAGCCAGGATAGAAAGAACCCCTCTCTCACCACAAGCTGAAGGGCTGGGGCACCTCCCTGCCCTTCTCCTGGGGTGGCCCAGCCTGATCTGGGTTGTGGCCCGCCTGCCAGTCTGTGATCCTCCCAGCCAGCTTGGCATGGGTGTGGGCACCACTCAGAGCTGAAAACCGTAATGCTGGGCCTGGGAGGGGAGGTGGGGGCACCAAAGCAAGGGCTTCTGGGCCTGTGTGTTTGTCCGCATCCTGGTGCATGAGTGTGAGAAACTTGAGTGGACTTGTAAACATCTGATGGGTCAGCATGTGTGAGTGAAAAAAAGTGTCTGTGTGAATATATGTGATTGTGTAAAAAAGTGTATGTGCGTGTGTGAGGCTGAATTTGAAATATCTGAGTGTGTCTGTGAAAGTGTGTATGTCAATGTGTGTACTTGGGAGAAAATGCATGTGTGTGCATGGGACATACATGGATTTGTGTGACAACGTATGTATCTGCATATCTGACCATAAGTCAGTGGGAGTTAGAAAATGTACAAGGTGGTTAAAAGCACAGACTCAGGAGCTAGACTGCCTGGGTTTGAATCCTGGCTCCGCCATTTACCAAGTAACAACCTCTGTGCCTCGCTTTCCCCTCCTATAAAATGGGGATAATAATAGCATCAACTCGGGGTTGTTATGAGGATTGAATGAGATGATGTGTGTAAAGCAGTTGGCCTGTCATTCAGTCAGTGTTAAGTATTAGTTATTACTGTATAATTAGGGGTGTGAATGTGCTTGTAAAGATGTGTGGACACATGTGTACACAAGGGTTAGTCCAGGCCTCCAGGACATGATGGCTCACTGGCCAGCTCTGCTGTCCCGTGTCTGGTTTTGACACCTTCTCCCCTGCTGGCCTAGGTGGGTGGCAGAGCAAAGGAGGAATGGACTGTGGGCCACCTGCCACCCTCCAGTCTCACCTGGCTGGGCCGCCTGGCACTGCCCGCCACCCAGTAGCTGTGTGCCAGCAGGAGAGTCTGTCCTTTGCGGAACTGCCCACCCTGCAGCCCCCAAGCCCTGTGTGTCTGGATCTCTTCCCCGTCGCTCCAGAGGAGCTGCGGGCTCCTGGCAGCCGCTGGTCCCTGGGGACCCCTGCTCCTCTCCAAGGGCTGCTATGGCCACCATCTACAGGAGGTCCAGACAACAAGATCTCCACCAGTGGGGGCATGCGGCCCAACAGGGCTGGCAGCTGGCCACACTGTCCTAGTGCCCAGCCCCCAGCTCTGGAGGGACCCTGGAGTCCCCAGCACCCACAGCCGCAGCGCCGGGCCAGCCATGGCTCAGAGAAGAAGTCAGCCTGTGAGTCACTCTGGATGAGGGGGTGGTGGCCCAGCGTGGCGGAGAGGGAGAGGCTGGGTGGCTATGTTAGGACTCCTAAGCCCCAGAGTTCCCCAAACAGGCGGGACAAGGACAAGCAGTAGATTTTAGTGATAAGGGAACAAGAGCTCAGGGAAGACAATTAACTTGTCTGAGCTTACACAGCAAGCGAGTGGCTGTCCTGGGCTCCTGGCCCTTTCTCCACTGCAGTCAGGCACTGCTCTCTCCACCCTTCTTGTTGATCCCATTTCTCTGGGGATCAGATCCCGGCAAAAACATTGGCCTTTCCTTTGGGCACAACCCCCAGATGCTCGAAGCCATAGGGAAAAACATTGGCCTTTCCTTTGGGCATGTCAGCCAGATGCTCGAGGCCACAGGGAAAAACATTGGCCTTTTCCTTTGGTCATGTCAGCCAGATGCTCGAGGCCACAGGGAAAAACATTGGCCTTTTCCTTTGGGCATGTCCCCCAGATGCTCGGGGCCACAGGGCAGCAGCAGGGAGGAGGTGGGGAGAGACCCCAGAGGATGCCAGCATGTGCTCTCACCCCACCTCCCTGCAGGGCGCAAGATGCGGGTGTACCAGCGTGAAGAGGCCCCTGGCAGCCCGGAGGCCCATGCTGTCTTCCTGGAGCCTGGCCAGGCAGCGGAGCAGGCCCTGAGCACGGAGGAGCCTCGGCCGCTGGGGCTGTCTGGGCCCACCCGAGCTGGCCTCGAGGGGCCTGAGCGGAGGCGCTTCTCAGCTTCTGAGCTCATGACCCGGCTGCACTCTTCCTTGCGGCTGGGGCGGAATTCCACAGCCAGGGCACTGACCCCTGGGTCAAGCCCTGGAGCAGCTCGGGAAGGTACCAGCTCCTCCCCTGGGCCCTAAGAGCAGGTCATGAGCCAGATGCCCACTCACTGGACACCTGAGACTGGGTGCTGGTCAGCTGGGTGCCCAGCGCCACTCTGGGGCCACCCACCCTCAGCTCTTACCCTCTCCAGGGAAAGCGTCTGGAAGGGAGTCGCGCAGTGTAGAAATGAGGGTGGACGGTATGGCGATGCCAGCCCCTGTTGACACGAGCGGGGGCCAGGGCGGCTGGTCCGAGCCCAGGTACCACCTCCCCCTGTGGGCTCGGGTCCAAGGCGGGGTGCCGGCGTAGAAGGGCTCTGACACGCTCCCTTTCCTAGGCTGGACGCGCAAGAAGAGCCGGCTCTGGGTTCTGGGAGCGCCAGCGAGCGGCGCCAGTCACGGTTCCTCCTTAACTGTACGTGGGAGGAGGTCACGCAGGAAGGTTTGGGGGTCCTGGGAAACCAGGGTTTGGAGAGCTGCGAGGTAGGGATGATGTGAGGGGGAGAGGACTGAATTCTCAGTGTTTAGCACAGGGTTAGCACGCAGTTGGTGTTCAAGCAGTGTTCGTGGAGTGAGTGAATGAATGAATTCCCTGTGTCCCGCTGTCCCGCCGTCGGAAAGGCTTGCTAAGAGAGGCGGGCTTTGGGGGGAACAGGGGAGGAGCGCGGCCATGCTGGCGAGCGCCCCACGGCCCTCCCGCCCCTCTGCCCGCCCAGCCGTCCTCTACCAGGAATACAGCGACGTGGCCAGCGCCCGCGAACTGCGGCGGCAGCAGCGCGAGGAGGAGGGCCCGGGGGACGAGGCGGAGGGCGCGGAGGAGGGGCCCGGGCCGCCGCGCGCCAACCTCTCCCCGAGCAGCTCCTTCCGGGCGCAGCGCTCGGCCCGAGGCTCCACCTTCTCGCTGTGGCAGGACATCCCCGACGTGCGCGGCAGCGGCGTCCTGGCCACACTGAGCCTGCGCGACTGCAAACTGCAGGAGGTGGGCGCCGGGACCCGGCAGGGCTGCCAGTCCAGGAAGGGGGTCCTGGGGCCCAGAGGGCGTGGGGCAACAGAAGAGGCGGGGCCAAGGGTTCGTGGTTCCCCGACTGAGCCCGGTCGGGACCACGAGGGGACCAGGTCAGTGGGACTGCAAATTGCAGGAGGTGGGCTTGGGACCCAGCAGGGAGGGGGGGCCACAAGAGGGCGGGGCCGGCGGGACTGTCAATACGGAAGATGGGTACCAGGACCTGTCAAGGTGAGGCTGGCTGCGGGCGAGGGCCGAGGAGCCCAGGAGCCGAGGAGCCGAGGAGCCGAAGGCTAGCGGAGAAGCGGGCGCGGGGGCGAGGCCTACGACAGGGCGGGGCCAGAGGAGGGGCGGAATCAGGCTGGGCCAAACGAGGTGGGAGCTCTGACAGCAAGGACATGGGACGGGTGGGGTCATCCGGAATGAAAACGCGTGGTGGGGGCGGGGCCAAGAGCAGGGACGGGGCCAGCGGGAGAGCGGGGCTGTGGAAAGACGCACCTGCGAGAGGCAGGGCCATCGACTGACTAGGGCTGGCCCGCTGGGCGGAGCTAGGGGCGCAATCGAGGACTCCAGTTGGGTTTGAACAATTGCGCGCGGCAGGAGGCGGGTCCCCCACCCTGCCTGGCACCAGATCAGGGGTGAAGCTAGAGAAGGGGTGGGCACGAGGTGCGGCTGTGTCTTAGCAGGTGGTGTCTGGGCCTTAAAGGGGAATATGAGAGGTAAGGGTGCCCGGAGTTGGCTGGCTCGGCCCTTTCAACCCCGCGTCCACCCCGTCTCAGGCCAAGTTTGAACTGATCACGTCCGAAGCCTCCTACATCCACAGCCTGTCGGTGGCCGTGGGCCACTTCTTAGGCTCGGCTGAGCTGAGCGAGTGTCTGGGGGCACAGGACAAGCAGTGGCTGTTCTCCAAACTGCCGGAGGTCAAGAGCACCAGCGAGAGGTGAGGGGGTGAACTGGCCTGGGGCGGCGGGGCGCGGGAACCGAGCCCGCAATTGGCCGGGCTCCCATCTTGCCCTGGCCCTGACGCCCTGCTGACCCCTCAGGTTCCTGCAGGACCTGGAGCAGCGGCTGGAGGCAGATGTCCTGCGCTTCAGCGTGTGCGACGTTGTGTTGTGCCACTGCCCAGCCTTCCGCCGCGTCTACCTCCCCTATGTCACCAACCAGGCCTACCAGGAGCGCACCTACCAGCGCCTGCTGTAGGGCTGGGGGCTCTGAAAGTGGGGAGGGCAGAGGGGGTCTCAGGCAGGAATAGGTGCAGAGGACTGGGTGAGGAAGGGTGACCTGGGAGGGAAGGGGTTCCTGAAAGGAGCTCTGTGACTAAGATAAAGCTAGACCCACCCCCATGGGGCCGGAGGGTCCTGGAGAATCTGAGAAGGCACCTGGAGAACCAGTGGAGCAGCTGGGCTCGTGGATCCCAGGAGTTCAGGCCCACCCGTGAGCCCAGACCCCTCCCAATTTTCCAGCCTGGAGAACCCCAAGTTCCCTGGCATCTTGGCTCGTCTGGAGGAGTCTCCTGTGTGCCAGCGTCTGCCTCTCACCTCCTTCCTCATCCTGCCGTTTCAGAGGATCACCCGCCTCAAGATGCTGGTGGAGGTACCTGGAGGGCACAGGCTGCGGTGATGGCTGAGCGAGGGGGGTGCTGCCATGGCCTCCGCAGCCTCTTCTGGGCACCCACACTTGGGCAGGGTGTTGGGGGAGGTCAGGGCCTGCCTCATTGCACTGACCCCACCCTCTAGAACATCCTGAAGCGGACAGCACAGGGCTCTGAGGATGAAGACATGGCCACCAAAGCCTTCAATGCGCTCAAGGAGGTGAGCTCAGTAGGGCAGGGGCCGCCTGGCTCTTGAGGGCCTCCCTGGAACCCCAGTGTATCTCCGAAAGAGGCCTGGCCTTCAGTCCCCAGGTGGGAGTCTGAGGCTGGGTTCCGGGAGCCGGGGTTGGGGGGTTCCAGGTGACCCACCCGCGGCCTCCCCAGCTCGTGCAGGAGTGCAACGCCAGTGTGCAGTCCATGAAGAGGACAGAGGAGCTCATCCACCTGAGCAAGAAGATCCACTTTGAGGGCAAGGTGACTGTCCGTGGCTAGTGGGACCGGCACACAAAGGGGCAGCTCTTGTCCCCTGCTTTCCTGGGGGCTGCAGGCCGGTTCATCACTGCCCACACCCTCCCTTCCCCTGTCCTGTGCTCTCTGCCTGCTGCCCTGGGCCTGACCTGTGCCCTCCCCTGCCTCCTCCACCCTCCCAGATCTTCCCGCTGATCTCTCAGGCACGCTGGCTGATTCGGCACGGGGAACTGGTGGAGCTGGCACCACTGCCCGCGGCGCCGCCTGCCAAGCTGAAGCTGTCCAGCAAGGCCGTCTACCTGCACCTCTTCAATGACTGCCTGCTGCTCTCCCGGCGGAAGGAGTGAGTTGGTGAAGGGCGGAGGAAGGTGGATTGGAGCTGGGCTTCCTTCTTCCCTACCAATGGGCTCACAACCCGTCCATCACTGAGCCTGTGGTAGGCTGTGCTGCATGGCGCCCTGAACCCTGGGGGTCCCGCAGGAAAGTCAGAATTTGAGGCAAGTCCATCTTCCAGACCCTTGAGAATCAAGGGCTGGACTGTGTGCAGAAGGCTTGAAGCTGCTCTGAGCTTAAGCCGCTTAGAGCAGAGGTCAAGAGCACAGCCTTGGAGTCCCTGCTCTGCCCTGGGTCATAATCATAATAGCTGAGCGAGTGTCTGGGGGCGCAGGACAAGCAGTGGCTGTTCTCCAAACTGCCCGAGGTCAAGAGCACCAGCGAGAGGTGAGGGAGTGAACTGACCTGGGGCAATGGGGTGCGGGAACTGAGCGCCTGTTCTGTGCCAGACATGCTTGTGGATTATTTCCTTTAATCCTCCAAACTTCTCCCTGGGAAGGAGGCTCCTTGTTGCTCTCGAGAGCTTGGAGCTAGTACGTGCGGGAGCCAGGAGGAGGCCGGGTCTGTCTGATGCCGGGTCCCAGACTTGTAACTGCTGCACCATCCTGTCTTCCATCTGTGAGATACAGACTACCGTGTAGGAGGGTCAGTGTGAGAAAAATGCATGAAAAGAGCTGAGCCCCGTGCCTGGCTCGCAGTGGACACGACTCAGTGTTAGCTGTGATTATTGTGAGTTTGGGATGAGGGAGAAGACTTCCTGAATGAGGGAAGCCTTGCGGCTGGGTGGGATGAAGGATGGACATCTGATGCTATGAGAAGAGTTTATTCTTGATTTATTCATTCATTCAATAAAGCATCACTGAACCCCTGTTCTTTGCCGGCCCTCTGATGGGTGCTGGGGACATAGAGATGAATGAGACTTGTTCTCTGCTCACAGGAGTTCTTAGACCAGTGAAAATACATCCTCATAGCCACCTGGTCAGGGTTTTGATGGAAGGGTGTACTGGTACTGTAGCATTCCCTGGTGTGGGGTGAGAATCGGTAAAGCTTCACAGAGGAAGGGACATTTGAGCTGGGTTTTAAAGGATAAGTAGGAGTTTTCCAGGTAGAGAAGGAGTTTGGAGGGATATTGCAAACTCACAGTAGGGTATAAGAGCAGAGTGTGTTTGGGGGATGATGAAGCTTACTGTGGCTGGATTTGTAGAGGGGAAGGGCAGGCAAGGGTAGTTGGGATGTTGAAAGTCATGGTAGAGAGGTTGGATTTTCTTTCTTTTTTTTTTAAGATTGGCACCTGAGCTAACAACTGTTGCCAATCTTCTTTTTTTTTTTTTTCTGCTTTTTCTCCCCAAATACCCCCGGTACATAGTTGTATATTTTAGTTGTGGGTCCTTCTAGTTGTGGCACGTGGGACGCCGCCTCAGCATGGCCTAATGAGCGGGGCCATGACCGCGCCCAGGATCTAAACTGGCGAAACCCTGGGCTGCCAAAGCAGAGCATGCAAACTTAACCACTCGGCCACGGGGCCGGCCCCTTGGTTGGAATTTCTGAGGGCAGTAGGGAGCATGAAAAGTTAGGCAAACGAGTGACGTTTTGCTCCTGGCCAATTTGGAGAATAGACTGGAAGGCGAGAGATCAGAATGGAAGCTCTTGCAGCTGCCTCGGTGAGAGCAGATGCTCCGGAAGGGGTAGGGACTTGGGGAGAAGGGGATCCTGGGGACAGTGAGGAGACAGACAGACAGGATGGGCTGCTGGTTGGATGTGGGGGGAGGGGAGAGGCGAGAGTGACGACGGAGCTTCCTCTTGGGCGCCGTGGTGGGGTCTGTCACTGGAAGGGAACAGTGAAGGGATCTGCTTTGCGTTGGGAGAAACTGAGTTCTGTTTAGGCAGGTTGAGATGAAGGATGCATGGACCCACCCACCCACCCATCCTTCCCACAGGTTGGACCCAAATTGTGGGCCAGGCGGTGTCAAGCACAGGGGTCAGTGGCGAACAGGAGACAAAGTTCAGCTCCTAACCAGTGAGAGAGAGAGTCAGGCACGGAGCAGTGCAGAGGGCTCATCAGAGTTGCTGCCCATCTGGCTCTTTAGGACAGGGCTCAGTGCAGAGGCTCAGAGGGAAGCTGACAGCAGGCCCGGGGGTCAGGGACCGGGCTCTGTCACCTTCCACCCCTGTCGGCGAGCTGGCAGGAATGGAGCTCCCAATTCCTTTTGGGGAATCTGCTGGGTGCCAGGGAGGTGGTGTCCTGCGCAGCCAAGTTTCCTTGAGGAGGGCGCTAGAGGGGCCCACGACCCCTTCTCCTGCCTTCCGATCAGAACTCACCTGGTCCTGGGCAGGGGGCTGGGCTCCCGGGCGCGGGCCAGGCTGACCTCCCTCTCCTGGCCCTGCAGGCTCGGGAAGTTTGCTGTTTTTGTCCACGCCAAGATGGCCGAGCTGCAGGTAAAGGACCTGAGCCTGAAGCTCCAGGGCATCCCTGGCCACGTGTTCCTCCTTCAGCTCCTCCACGGGCCGCACATGAAGCACCAGTTCCTGCTGAGGGCCCGGACGGAGTGAGTGGGCCTGAGGATGGGGAGAGAGGACCCCCACACCCCGGGCAGGCACAAGGCCTTTATCTCTAGCTTCAGCAGGGTGGCATAAGGCAGGACCTGGGCAGAGCTGGCATCTGGGGGCTCTGGGCCTTCTCTGTTCTTATGCTCAGAGCCGGGCGGGACACAGGCTTGGGGACAGGGCTATCGGATGGGCCCTGGGGTGGGGAAGACATGACCTGGGTCCCGGGTCTGGACGTCGTACCCATTCTCCCAGCCCTGGTTTCACCAGCCTGGCCCTGGGAGACCGCACTTTGCATGTTGTGACAGCTCAGCCTCCTTCCCCGTAGAAGTGAGAAGCAGCGATGGATCTCAGCCATGTGCCCCTCCAGCCCCCAGGAGGACAAGGAGGCCATCAGCGAGGGGGAAGGTAGGAGCCTGCCCCCCACACACCAGGCCCACGTCCCCTGGGCTGGGCACCTCATGGCTCTCTCCCTTCCCTCCCATCCTGGGCGCCATGTTGCCAGCAGGGCTAATGGGGAGAGAGACCACCCGGCCTGGAGCAGCAGGGGGTGGCTCTGCAGAACCTCGAAAGACAGGCGGGATTTACATAGGACAGACCCACACCATGGGCACAGGCAGCACCCTGGGCCTGACAAAACCTTTCTCTCCTCCCATTTCATTCCCACAGAAGCTCATTCACAAGTTAGAAAACAGAGGTTCAGAGAGGGAAAGAGACTTGTTCAAGGTCACCCAGCTGGGAAGTGGCAGAGCTGGGCCTGGAACCCAGATCTGTCTCTGTCTTTGCATCAGTTGCAAAGAGGACAGGAAGCGATGGCCAGGGCGTGTGGGGCATGGGGGTGGTGGCAGCGTGGGGGATCTGCTCAGCTGGAACAGAGGCTTCTCCGGGTGTGAAATGAGGCTGGTAAGCCAGGGTGCAGCCCAATTCGAGAAGACCTCGGTATAGTGGGTACTAGGTAGCCATTGAAGGTTTTTGAGTGGGAGTTAGGGCTGAGCTAAGGAAGGGGAAGGAAGGGAGCTCTTTTCCACCTGGGCCATGCCATGTGTCAGGCTCGGTGCTAGGGGCTTTGTAGATGTGTTTATTTTACTTAATCCTCATGACACTCCTATTAGATAGACCCATTCTTCGTATCTGAGAAAACTAAGACTCAGAAATGTTAAACAACTTGCCCAAAGTCACAGAGCTAATGGTGGCAGGGCTGGGATTCAAGACAGGTCTGGCCCCAGAGCCTGTGGTTTTCCTGATACTACCAGCCTGCCTAGTGCAGTGGGAAGCTGAGGCCCTGGGCTGGAGCAGATTCTCTGGCTGGAGCTAAGAGTCCTGTTTGGGCTAGGAGGTGGATGGTCAGGGGCAGCCATGAAAAGATCTGGGGAAGAGCACTCCTGGAAGGAGGAACAGCCAGTGCAAAGGCCCTGAGGCAGGAGGGAGTGTGGAGTGTTTGATGACCAGCAGGGTGACCAGTGTGGCTGGGCTTCATGAGTGAGGGGCAGAGGGGAAGGAGGTGGAGGAGCAGAGGTTAGCAAGTGGGCAACGCCACACCTTGCCGGGCTTCGGAGGCTGCGGGAGGACCGTGGACTTTATTGTAAGAGGAGTGGGAAACCCTGGAGGGTTGTAAACGGGGGAGTGATGTGGCCTGAATCCCAATTGAGAAGGGCGGACTGGAGGGAGCACCCGAGTACCATCGGGGCAGATGATGGGGCCATGACTGTTTTGTTGGCGCAGGCCTGGGGGCAGTTGGACATTGGCCTAGAGGTCAGGGGCAAGGAGCTGGGGAGGCGAGAGCCCTGGGAGCAGAGGCAGTGACTGAAGCCCAGAGGGACTGGATTCACCTTGGGCTTGTGTCCAGGGTGAGAGAGAAGAGTGGGCAGAGGAAAAGAAGCAGCAGTGGCTGCTCTCCCACCCCTCACTTCCTCCTACTGCCCATCCCTGCCCACCCCCATCCTGCCCTGGGGACCCCCTCACTCTCCCTCGGGCTCTCAGACCGCCCCCAGGTTCAGTGTGTCAGGACGTACAAGGCACTGCAGCCGGACGAGCTGACCTTAGAGAAGACTGACATCCTGGCGGTGAGGACCCGGACCAGTGACGGTGAGAGGGGCCTCCTGGGAAGGCCTCCCTGATGGGCCCAGTGGGCGGGAGGTAGCTGGATGGCTAAGACATCACAGGAAAAGGTTATGCAAGTGTTGATCAACCACAGCATGCAAGAATCAAGTTAGACAAGAGGAGGAACTTCCTGCTTATAGACATGTAGGATCAAGAGTGACTGACGGGGGAGAGTGGGAAATACCCTTCTTGGCGGATGTCAGGAAAAACAGGTCAGAAGTTTATCTACAAGACTGCCAGAGGCAGGGTCCTTCCTGGAGCTGGGAGATGCTGCGATGATGTCACCTCGGCCCCAGGGGTGCAGACGAGGCTTGCATCAGGGCCTAGGTATTCCCTCGAAGACCTGGCCCTGGTGTCCCTTAGATGCCACTGATGTTGCTCCCGGCCTGTGTGCCCCTAGGCTGGCTGGAGGGGGTCCGCCTGGCGGATGGTGAGAAAGGGTGGGTGCCCCAGGCCTACGTGGAAGAGATCGGCAGCCTCAGCGCCCGCCTCCGAAACCTCCGGGAGAATAAGCGCATCGCGAGTGCTGCCAGCAAACTGGGGGAGCCCCCCGTGTGATGGGCAGCCATGGCCTGGCCCCCTGCTCCCCGGCCGGCTCCTGGATGGGTCTGGAGGGGCCTGCAGTGTCTCCATGCCACAAGCCCCTGCTGCTGAGACTTCTGGTCCGTGGCCTGGCCTCGGGAGCGCAGGCTGGACACAGGAGGGAGTTACCTCGAGAGGGTCTCCCCCGTCCTCGTGCTCCTCACTGTCCACACTTCTGGCCGAGGGCAGCTCCTCCCTCTGGCGTGGGGGCCACAACGGGTGACCTCTGATATCGGGCAAGGACTGGGGCCCTCTCCCTTCCATGCCTCCACCCGGCCTGACTCTTGTCCCTCTGGCAGGGGCCTGGCTGGGAACGGCTCTGGTGACGATGGGTGCTGGGACCTATATATCTACCTGGGGTCTTCTGGCCAGAGCCTGTGTGGGGCCTGGTTGCCGGGACTTGTCTGTAAATAAACCCCCCTGATGCCTTGGCTTGGAGTCCGTGAGCCCTCTGATGCTGTCCCCTCCCCAGCCCCGTTTCCCAGCTGTAGATCAGGAGGGTCTCTGGCTGCCTCCCATTGTGAATTTGCCCTTCTGTGAGTTCACCTCTTAGCCAGAGGTGGGTGAGAGGGGCGGCATATCAGTCAGACTGCCTTGGGCTGCAGTTAACAAATCAGCAGATTCAAATAGGCCTAAACATTAAAGAGAATTTATTAGTTCTTGTATTTGTTTCTTAAAGCTTCTGTAACAAATTACTACAAACTAGGCAACTTAAAACAACAAAAGTTCATTCCTTCACAGTCCTGGAGGCCAGAAGTCTGAAGTCAGTATCATTGGGCCAAAATCCAGACGTCAGCCAGGCCGTGCTCCATCCTATAGTGGAGATGGGCCCTAGGGGAGAGTTGTTCCTTGCCTTTTCCAGCTTCTGGTGGCTGCCAGCATTCCTTGGCTTATAGCCGCATCACTCTAATCTCTGCTTCTGTGGTCACATTGCCTTCTTCTCTGTATGTCTATGTCGAATCTGCCTCCCTCTTACAAGGATACATGCAATTGCATTTGAGGCCCACCCAGATAATGTCCCCATCTTATAATCCTTAAATCTCATCTGCAAAGACCTCCACCCCTATTTTTATCGTATAAGGTAACATTCACAGCTTCCAGAAATTAAGACATAGGTATCTTTTGGGGGGCCATTTCTCAGCCTACCCACAGTTCTCACAACTGAGAAGTGTAGAGGCAAGGTTGGCTTCAGGTAAGGCTGGATCCAGTGGCTCACTGATGTCACTGAGGACTCAACTCTTTCCATTTCTTGGTATTGTCTTCATCCTAAGGCTTCCAGGGGCTTCTTCACAGCCAAGATAGAAGAAGAGAATTGTCTTTGTCTCAGCATTCCCTGTCAAAGTCCTCTGATTAGACAGCTTCGATCTCATGACTACCTCTGGGCTGATCACGGTGGCCAGGTTATGATGTGTGCTGATAGACCTAGTCTAGGTCGTGTACTCTATCCCTGGAGCCAGGTTGGGGAGTTATCTTCCCTGGAACCCTGTGGATCCCCAAGTGGAATTTGGTGGCTGCTGCAAAGGTGAGGTAGATGCTGGGGAGACCAGTGTTCACTGAAACCCAAGTCACTCAAAAGAGGGGAAGGACCTGCGAATAATGAGCTTGGAGTGTTCCGGGGGACAGGAGCATCCTTCATCCCTCAAGAGGAGGATGTGGGGCAAAGAAAAGAGATGAGTTGGGGTGGTCGTAGAGGGCAGACATGGGCAGACAGGGAGAAGTCAGGCCCGTGAAGACTCAGGAGATGACTTTAGTGTGGGAGGGTGCAGGGAGGGCGGAGGGTGTGGGCAGAGGCAGACATATTTGAACTTGAATTCTGGTTCAGACATTTAATTTTTAAAAATAAAGCTTTTACTTTGGAATAACTAGATTTATGGGAAACTTGCAAAGATTGTACAGAGAGTTCCTCTCGCCCCTGTCCCGGTTCTGCCCGTTGCTGACATCTTCCGTTACCATGGTACAGTTGTCAAAACTGAGAAACCGAGCTGGTACGTGACTATTCACTGAAATTCAGGTTTTCTTCACGTCTCACCAGTTTTTCCGCTGATGTCCTTTTTCTGTTCCTGGATCCCATCCAGGATCCCACATGGCCGGTGGTTGTCACGTCTCCTTAGTCTCTGTGTATGACCGTTTCTCAGTCTTTCCTTGGTTTTCGTGACCTTGACAATTTTGAGGCGTTCTGGTCATTATTTGTTTGTGAGACTGCCCCTCGGTTTGAGTTCATCTGCTGTTTCCTCATGACTGGGCAGGAGTTACCGGTTTGGGGGAGGGCTACGGCAGAGGCGGGGTTCCCCTCTCATCACATGATCTAGGGAGGCACACGACGTCCCCGGGCTTATTCCTGGTCACGTTAAGCTTGATTACAGGGTTAAGCTGGTGTCTGCCAGGCTTTCCCACTGTGAGGTTACTGTTTTCCCCTCTCCATCCTTGGTTCTTTGGAAGCAAACGATCCCATGCTCAGGTTAGGGGAGGCATGTTCCCCTTCCTGGAGGATGCATCCACATGTATTGTTTGGAATTCTTCTGTAAGGAAGGTTTGCTTCTTTCTCCCCATTTATTTAATCAATCATTCATTTCTATCAGCATGGACCCATGCCTTTATTTATCTTATCCTTTGGGATACACCTCAATGCTCAGTTATTTGACCATTGGGAGCTCTTTCAGATTAGCTTGTGTGTCTGTCTGACATCCCCTCATCCTTTTGGTTTTTTGAGCACTTGCTTACCTTCTGGCACCATGAGATGCTCCAGGCTCGTCTTCCCTAAGGAGCACGGTTCCTTTTACTGGAGTGTGGTATTTAGAAACCAAGATCTGAGTGCTGGGTGTGCTCATTGCAATTGAGATGTCACTGCTTCCAGGCCCTCCCATCGGACGGAAGTAGGGAATAAATATATAATGTGTGACACTTGATGGTTCTCACATCTTCCAAGTGGGGATGGTGGTAACAGTACCTACTGCGTGCAGCCACTGTGAAATAACGTATGGAAGGTCAGCCCAGTGCCTCATCCATAAGAAGCTGCCCCAAAGCGGTGGCTTTTATTGCATCAGAGCTGCATGACAGAGCATGGGGGCCCTTGTGAAGTGATGAGGTCTCTGTCCCTTGAAGATTTAAGAAACTCAGAAAGTCCAGGAATGGGACTCCTGCACTGAGTCAAGACCAAAGGGCCTCTCTGCTTCTTCCAATGCTGAATGTGCTTGGGAAGAGCCAAGGCTGGCACGGGATGGGGAAGCAGAGGAGACAAGCTCCCTCACTCAGCCAGCCCTGGCGCAGCTGGGTTCTGGCTGGCACCCGAGTCTGGGCTAGGCTGCTGGAGGCTGGGGAGGGGGGCGGCTGGCTTTGGCGTCAAGCTGCCAGGCAGGGAGATCAGGGCTGCATGACGACCCAGCAGACCCACCTCCCTCATTTCCCACCTGCCCAGGAGGAATATCCAGGCAGGACATCTTGGGGGAGCCCCTCTCTCAGTGGTGCCTGCCTCTGCCCAGTAGGCCCTGCCTGGTATGTGGCCTTGGCCAAGGACCCAAGGTCATGCCCCTGCTTGCTGCAGGAGGAGAAGGAAAGTGGGGGTGGTATTGGGCAGGACAAGAGACGGGGGTGGGCATGTCTGGGGCAGGGGTTTTGGCCCCTGAGGCTGTCTGTTCAGCCAGTCTCCAAGTTATGCATGTTCAGGAGCCCAACTCAATTGCTTCCTGAAGCCTCCTTCCCACCCTGTGCCAACCCCCTTCTCTGCAGTGACAGAGGGGTTCCTGCTGTCCACCACTTCTGTCGTCCCCAAACTCCAAACCTATTGTTTAGCAGATTTTATCCTGAAATGAAACTATTGAGAAAGAAACATATTCCATTGTTCATTTTCAGGGCATGCTGAGGTTTCAGTGTGAACCGAGAGCCAAAGCTTCAGCCCCAGCAGGCACTTGCTTCTGGGGCAGCCAGTGTGAAGCCCCACAGCACGAGATGTTCGCCTGTTTCTTTTCTGATTCTCTTTCTCTCTTCCTCCCTCCTTCCTTCTCTTCTTCCTCCTTCCTTCTCTCCTTCCTTCCTTCCTTTTTCTTTCCTTCTTTCGAATCCTCTTTGTTCTCCTCTCCCTCATTTGTGTCTCCTACAGGCCCGAGGGCATAGATAGTGTCCTCTCGCCCTAACAGGTGAGACAGACAAGTGAACAGATTAAACGCAGGGGCTCCCGGACAGGCTAGAGAGTCGGGGATGTGGGGAGCAGGAGCTGTCCTGTGCTAGTGGCGGGGTGTTAACAGGTGCAACCCCTTTGGAACAGTTTGACTGCATCCGCTAAATCGGAGTACATG